GGAGGAGGAGGAGAGGAGGAGGAGGAGGAGAGGAGGAGGAGGAGGAGCGACATCCAAAACATTCGTTGGATCAATATGCATGACAGGAGCACTGGTTCTTCTTCTTTTTTTTTTTTTAACAAATCAACTTTGCATTCCATTGAGGAGCACTGGTTCGCAACAAGCTGTAAGAAAAAAAAGAAAAAAGAAAGAAAAAAAAGTTGTATTTTGTAATTGTCGCTCGGTATCCCGACGGAGATTTCGGCTCCGTTAGCGCAGAGAGAAGAGTACGGACATGCCGATGAACCGAAACTGAAGCAGAAGGGAGGGGGGCAGGGACTGGAAAGGGGGGGGCAGGGGCAGGGGCAGGGGCTGGAAAGGGTCATTTAACTTAGAAATTGACCCCTCAGTTAGCCCCTTCATCACCTATCGGAGGACTGGTTAGATACGGGGAACCTGGGACGCACTTGTGGGCGGGCATCGGACGGCTGCAGATTCCTCAACCCATCGAACGGCTGGAGGCCTGACTTTGTTCTTTTTCAGAAATTCTCGTTTATTTTCTCCTCGACTCGATGATCAAGCAAAATGCGGCATATCGCCTTAGGCCTTACTCAAACTACCGCGCTTTCCTAACTGCATCTGACTGCAATCATGGCCAGATTTCGATGCATCTGACCGTAATCACGTCCAGAGCTCGGTCGAAAAAGTCCTAGTGTAAGCATGCCCTTAGAAAGGCAACAGCTGGCATGCTGACGACCAGTAAGGCCATCGCCATGAACCCGACGACCGGTATCTGTTGAAAGGAACAAGGTACGTACGAGTCTACCAACTTGAGCCGGCGACCGACCGGTATTTGCTCAGCGACCCGCAGCGATGACTGACAGGGAACTAGGCACATACTGCTTACCCGACGACCGGTATCTGCTCAACGACCAGCTCCGACAACCGCTAAGGAACAAGGCCCATATTCCTCCGCCAGCTTAGCCGGCGACCGACCGGTATCTGCTCCGCGACCAGCACCGATCACTGATGCAGAAAAAGGCCAATATGCCAATTTGCTCTGCCCTCGCCACTCCTTTTGCCCTTCCGTTGCCTCTCTCCTATCTCCTCCCTCTCCTCTCCTCTCTTCCCTCTCTCCTCTCTACTCTCTCTCTCCTTTCCTCTCTTCTCTCCCCTCTCCCCTCTCTCCTCTCTCATCTCTCCTCTCTCCTTTCCTTTCTCTCCTCTCTCCCATGAGTTGAAAATCATGAAGGCGACCAGGGTCTATGTCCGTCTATAAACACACACACACGGAAAAAAAAAAAAAAGGGAGACGTTACGGCTATTGTGTTTCCATGTGTCAAGTGACCTCGATTAACAGCTTGTCCATAATTATCGCCAAACGAGAACTAAAAATAGAAACGGGAGAGCAAGAGCTATTTGCGCTTCTGCCCCTGCCCCTCCGTCCCCCGCCCTCCCCCCTCCTCACCGCGCAGTTCACCCACAAACTACCCCAATTAAAACAGTACTGCAAAACTCAAAAGAAACTGCAAAGAACTGAATCAGGGCGTGCTCACACTAGCACAATCGTAAATGCATTTGACCGCTTTCACGACCGGCCCTTTATGCATCTGGCCGCACTTCCGTCCAGAAATAGTAAGTAAAAAAAGGTGCTAATGTGAGCATGTCCCCGACTCCCCGGGACACGAAACAGCTGGAGCTCCCAGACCATAGCACTCTGCTTCCCCTGCGAGGGCGTGCCATTCCGCATTGGGACCATCCCGACCCAGCGTAAGAGAGAATTGCAGAACTGCCCTCCCTCCGTTTGCAAACAAAGAGAGAATTGCAGAACTGCCCTCCCTCCGTTTGCAAACAAAGAGAGAATTGC